GAGGTCCTCTATAAGCTTAGGAAAATATTTGAACCTTAAAAAGTTAAGCCATTGGCTCAAAAGTTCAAATTTGCTCAATGCACCATTCTTGAAATTTCCAAAATTTTCCCAACTTGGGAAAGCCATAACTTACTCGATTTTTATCTCATGATGATGATCTTGGACTTTTTGGAAATCCCAATATGTCTACTTCAATATCTCTATTGACTAATTTTTCATTTGAAGACTTTATCTTGATGTAAAAGGTCTTGACAAAAAGTGTCTTTTGTTGACTTTCTAAAAATGACCTGTAATGTATGAGCTTGTATCTTTCAAATGGTGCATTTCTTGGACTTGAGGGCTGAGGAGAAGTTTTAGGGAATTGAGTTCTCTTCAAAATGAGCTTTGGTTGGAGAAAAATGGATGAAGTATGTGAAAGTTATGCCTGGTCAAAGTTTGGTTGACTTTTCCTATAGAAACCCTAATTAACAATTATTGACTTCTGATGAATTAGGAGCATTTCTAGAGGAATCATGATCAAACCTTGATCAAATGATGGATATCACTTCAAAATTTTGATGTTGACCCAAAAAACTTAAAGTTTGACTGTATATAGGGCACAATTGACTTTTGACCTAAAATAGTTGATTTTCAACCATTTGAGCAATTGACTGAGCAAACTTGTGGTGCAAGGTATTAAATTTGTCATGGATAATATTGAAGACATATTAGGACCATGGAAGATATTTGAGACCTTTGGAGCTCACACATCTTGGTGAAAAATGAAACCCTAGTTGGAAGGCCAATGCTTAGGAGGGGAATTTGTCTGATCAATTCTTGGTCAACATTGAGCAATTGAGGACCTCTAGGAGTATGTCTTGTGTGAAAATGAAAGGGAAAATTTTGGGGTACAACACATGTGAACCCTTGTAAGAATGCTATACTGTATATAGAATTTCCTGTGATTTCGTCTTGTAACTTGTTTCTTTGTAAGTCATTAAAAGACTTCATACTATATCCTTTCATCTAATGTTAATTTCTTCAAAAATACCTCTGTAACTTGCATTTTTCTTTTGCCCTTTCCTTTTGCCCTTTCCCTCGGTTTGTACTTGAAGTGGGCCTTGAATGGGCTTTGGTCCTTGAACCCAGTACTTGAATACTACTTATAACGCAAGCAACTTGAATTCCAAATGAAGTCTTTTCCTCTTCTTTTATTTGAACTTGAAAATGATGATTTGAATCATGATGAATGATAACAAATTTAAAAAGAGTTTGAATCAATGCTTGGATGATACTTGAATTAAGACTTGAACAAACCTTACTACTTGTTTTAGGTGAACAAAAACCTCCAAACTAGCATGCTTTAGCCAATTTAAATCCATTAAATGAATCGACTTGAATCCACGACATGAATCCATTCCAATTCACTTCTTTAATCCCCATCAATCTTGTATAACAAACAATAAGAGAATCAACACGACTTGATCTTAATGAATTCACAACACCATCCTTATATCATGCCCCGCCATCTAATGAACATCCAGTGAAACTGTTGACAAACCCAAGTATGATAGGATATAAACCCTAATCTACTTGAGGTATATGCTTAACAAAGACACAACTTATCATCAAAGCCATAGTTCACAGTCTTCCCAGTCAGAATCATTGGTGAGAAAGAAATAAGTCTTCAATGTTCACCATCACAAACCCTAGCTCCTCAGACCAAGGTTGGTGAAGGAATACGTTGACGACCCTTGAATGGAAAGGGAATCCTCAAAGCCAGAAAAATCCTAATTTTCCAATTCAATACTTGAAGGAGAAACAGACGAATCAGCCTTATTCGATATGTGCATCTCAAAACACTATAAAACCCTTAACTTGCATGATCATTGAACTTTTGAACCTCAAGTGCCTTATTGAATGTAAATGTATGCCATTTTAGTGACCTAATAGAATATATGCAGATGAATGTAAAAGCTTAAGCAAGATAAAAGTAAAAGGGTAGGACAAATTTGGGGTATTACACCTGTGTTATTAATGGCTTATGAATCTAATGAGGAGCCTGTGCGATTGTCATTTTTTGATTCTGAATGGGAAAGAGAATATGAGTCTGAATCAGAAGATGACTTTTGAGTGTTTAAATATGAGTCAGAATCTAAGGTTTTGGAAGATGAGTCAGAGTCAAAAGATGACTCTAAAGCTGAAGACAAGTCAGAATCTGAAGGTGATTCTGAGTCTGAAGAATAATTAGAAGATGAGTTAGAACCTGGAGGAGATTTTGCTTCTGAAGATGAATCAGAACCTGAAGGTTTTGAAGATGAGTCGGAACTTGAAAGTTATGAAGAAGAGTCAGAGTCAGAAGATGACTCTAGAGACTCTCAAGGCGAGTTTGTTTCTTATGGTGAATCTGATTTTGATTCAGATTTTAACGATGATCCAAAATCTGGTGGTGATCATGCTTCTGAAAGGAAAAACTCTGAAGACGTAGATTTTAGAGGTCAAGCTTATGGAGATGATCATGTTTCTGGTGGATATCATGTCGCTGAAGGTGGACTAATTGAAGGAGGAGTTTTTGAAGGTAGTCCAGCCTTTAACATTGGTCATGTTCTTGAAAGTGGAGTTTCTGAAGGAATAGCTTTTGAAGGTGATCCAACTTTTAAAGGTGGTACTTCTGAAGATAGTGGTTCTGGACGAGGTCCAAAAGCTAATAAAGGTGGAGATTATGGTGAAAGTCGAATTTCTCAAGAAAGTCCATAAGGAGATATGGTTCCAAAATCAGAAGAAGATTTTGAACAAGTCCAGAGGCCACGATAAATTAGATAAATACCAAGGAGATTTGCAGAGTTTTACACGTTGCAGGATACTAAAGGGACTTTGAGGTATGAAGTGTTATTCCCTTATAATGTGAAGACTGGTGCAGAGCTGATACGTTACTCAGGCTCTGGTTGGTCTGGTGACAGAATTGATAGAAGAAGTACTTCTGGATATTTCTTCAAATATTTGGGAAGTCCCATTTCTTGGTGTTCCAAGAAGCAACTGGTGGTTATGTTGTCAACCTGTGAAGCTGTCAAGACTGAACACTTTATCTATTTGAGAGATGTAATTGGTGTTGTAGGTTTTGGTTAGCTGAATATGAATTAAGGGATGGTGTTAGAAGTAATTCATATTCTGAAGTTGTTATTAGTTAGAAGCAGAAGCTTCTAACGTTGTTAGCCAGAAGCTGTAGGTTCTAGTTATTTTGTTAGCTTATCTATTAAGTTTAGTTTGCTTGTTAACTTAGTTATTAAGTTTTCTTTTATTAGAGCCTACGTGACAATTTACTTTGTGTATAAATAGACTAGTGTAGCTATCATATTAAAATCTCTAATCTTTCATATATCTTTTGTAGTCGTCATTACAGAACAATAAAAATAAATTATCATTCCTTTTCTTTTTCATCACCTTGTACACTAACAAAATTCATTCTATGGTGGGAAAAAAAAGGTTAAAGTTAAAAACTTCATATCATAATATACTGTAAAACTAGTTGTAAAATCATCTAACCAAAAACTGATTTTAAAACCAATTCAAATTTAAGATCAGTTTAAACCAAAACCCGTTTTAAAATGCAAGTTCATAGATATTAAATTAGTTTATATTACAAATCAATTTTAAACCAGTTTTAAAATGTATCAAAATTTGTTTGAAAAAAAAACATATATTAGAAACTGAACTAGATCATAAATTTGGTTTATTGGTTTAGAAATGAATCAAAAAATCTGTTTGAGAAAAAAGAATTCACTAAAAATATATTGGAAACTAAACTAGACTGTAAATATGGCTTATTGTTTTGGAAATGAAACAAAATCTGTTTGAGAAAAAACAATATTCACTCAAATATATTTAGAAACCGAACCAAACTGCAAATTTTTGTTCATTAGTTTATGAACATATATAGGATTCATTTTTGTCTTTTTGATTTTCCTTAACATCAATAGCTTTGTACTGTTTTTTCTGTACACTAATAAATCTTATTCACCCCTAGTCATTTTATTCTTTGTATAAGAGGGTTACTATAGTAGTCCTTATGGACCTACTTTAAAAGAATTTACTATAATTTTTTGTCAATGGGGTCTCTAATCGTTTGGTGACATATAGGCTTTATGCACGGTTCTAGTGAAACTATGAGGTCCCATCCATGAGAACAACCACAACCTAATAACTACACTTGAAGCAATTCATTTATTTCAATTTATGATCAAACTATTTTTGAGACTATTAAATATACACAAACACAAACTCACACACAAACCTCTGATAAAAACAATTCTTAACTCATTTCGGTTCATTTACTTTCCTTCTTTTTTAACTAGTATCCATGAGATGGTTGTGTGAATCATCACTCAATGCTAAACAAGGTAACCCCTCTTTTGCCTTTTCCTTCTGCATTTTTAATTGCGTAAAGTATCATTGCAATAAATGAATAGTAAACAAAAGGGACAAAATGTACATTTGCTAATAAAACATTATCATTGAAAAAGTGTGTTAAGGTTTAGTTAGAAATGGAAAGGGAAGTTATGAAAATTGATGTGCAAATTTCAATGAGCGTTGAGAGATGTGAATCAAGTTTCATCATTTAATCTTTTCATCTGCCCCCTTTATTTTCTTAGGTCGCTCCTCCATCCCTTTAAAACCACATCTTCACTCTAATTATCAATCATCATATCCCAAACTCTTTCTTCTTTCAACTCTGATACCAATCAACATATCATAAACCTTTTCTTGTTTTCATCAAAGTGCTAACTAAAATGCCTTCAATGTTGCAAAATTTCTCGAAAAAAAAGTATGTTAAACTTTTATATCAATATTTTTCGAACCATATTATGACCCTCACATTCCTAACCATTATGATTTATATCTTCATAGAATTACTACGTTTAGGCCCATATGAAGTTCTCAATCTTTTTAACTCCCTTGAGCTTGATCTCAATGATATCCTATGTTTTATGTTTGTCATCATCTTTGTATCAACAATATACTTCATGTCTAAACCACGCACAATCTACCTAGTCGATTACGCGTGCTTCAAACCCCCAATTACTTGTCGCGTTCCTTTCGCTACTTTCATGGAACATTCGAGACTAATCCTCAAAGACAATCCGAAAAGTGTTGAGTTTCAAATGAGGATTCTCGAACGATCGGGTCTTGGAGAAGACACATGTTTGCCACCTGCAATCCATTATATCCCGCCTAATCCAACAATGGAAGAAGCGAGACGCGAAGCCGAGCTTGTTATCTTCACGTCAATGGATTCGTTGTTCGAGAAAACAGGACTCAAACCTAATAACATAGACATTCTTATAGTCAATTGCAGCCTCTTTTCTCCAACTCCTTCTCTGTCTGCTATGGTGATCAACAAATATAAACTTAGAAGTAACATTAAAAGCTTCAACCTCTCCGGAATGGGGTGCAGTGCGGGTTTAATCTCCATCGATTTAGCGCGCGATCTTCTCCAAGTTTATCCGAATTCCAACGCTCTTGTCATGAGCACAGAAATCATTACACCAAACTATTACCAAGGAAAAGAAAGAGCAATGCTTTTACCGAATTGTTTATTCCGAATGGGTGGTGCTGCAATTCTTTTATCAAACAAAAAATCAGAACACAAAAGAGCAAAATATAGATTACTCCAAGTTGTTAGAACACACAAAGGCCGAGACGATAAAGCTTACCGTTGCGTTTTCGAAGAAGAAGACCGAGAAGGCAATGTAGGAATTTCACTTTCAAAAGATCTTATGGCTATAGCAGGAGAAGCATTGAAATCAAATATAACAACTATTGGTCCTCTTGTTCTACCAGCTTCGGAACAATTACTCTTTCTTTTAACACTCATTGGAAAGAAATTTTTCAATCCTAAATGGAAGCCTTACATTCCTGATTTCAAACAAGCCTTTGAGCATTTCTGTATTCATGCTGGTGGCCGCGCCGTGATCGATGAGTTACAGAAGAATCTTCAGCTATCTTCCGAACACGTGGAGGCTTCGAGGATGACGCTGCATCGATTCGGGAACACGTCTTCTTCGTCTTTATGGTATGAATTAAACTATATTGAATCAAAAGGAAGGATGAAGAAAGGAGATAGAGTATGGCAAATTGCTTTTGGAAGTGGATTCAAATGCAATAGTGCTGTGTGGAAATGTATTAGAAGCATTAAGACACCAATTGATGGACCTTGGGAAGATTGCATTGATCGCTATCCTGTTCATATTCCTGAGATTGTTAAGCTTTAAATCTATGGAAGAAGAATCATATATATGCCGCAAAGAAATATAGATTCTTTGTGGTTTGGTTAATTTGATTTACCATGTTCCTTGTGTAGAAGCTGATTAGATATTTGTCATTTCTCTATTATACTTGTTACTCAAACATCTTGGTATTTTTTTTCACCTTATGTCAACATTGAAAAGTAATTGGAATTTACATATACAAAATCATGATTGTTGCTTATGTGTTTTAAGTTCTATTTGCTCAATTCATATCAAATACTTAGCTAAAATCATTGAGTAGGGTGACAACTAATTTTAAAGTATGAATAATTAAAAATAGTACAGTTCACACTCAAAAGAGCAACACCATACAAATTTTAAAGTATAAATAATTAAAAATAGTATTAAATCCGAAAGATGTATGATTTTGAGGGAAAAAAAACTAAAATAAATAGCGTTTTGTAATAGAATCAGAAATATGTGGAAACTGAGTGAAACAAAATTTTGGTGTGGTGAAGTAAGTTTCCGTACGGTAAAACAAGGGTTAATCTATAGCGTTAACATTTCAATTTTTGAGTTAGTGAATGAGTGAGAAAGAAGTTTGAATGTATTAATGAGATAATATCTGAAATAGTGTGTGTTGCACATTATGTAGTGTGAGCAATTAAAATCATCTTCGTGATATCCGACGCCTCACGTGGGTTAATGCCTGATCAAATCCATTAGTGGAAAATATGATAGAGGCCAGAATCTGCGCGTGTCCTCAACTGAAGCGAGATGTCACATGTTTTGTGCATCTTTTTGTGCAATGTTTGTTATTGGGCCTTCACCATGGGTCTTGTAAGTGGTCCAAAACATTATCCCCTAGTCCTTATTCCTACTCGTAAAACGAGAACTTGTCATGCATGCGTTTAATATGTGGCTTCTAGCAGAAGAAAATGGAAGAACCATAATGGGATATCAATAACATTGAGAACAAGCGCATTGAATATTGTTGTACTTTAAAAGTTACCCTCATGTTTATAACCCCTAATTGGCTTTTGCTTCTCATTCATATGCATACTTTATTAGGTCATAATGCTCTACAAACATTCATTTCATGAGCTTCTAAGGCATGGGATAAGTGATTTCTTGTGATTTGGGTTTTCCCTATTCAAAGGTGGTTCATCTGGCTACTACATTCAAGTTGGCAAGGGTTTGAACTTACTTCATCACAAGTGTTTTCTTTGTCAAGATTCATCAAGATACAAAGTGATCATCTTCAAGATTCCTCAAAAGCATCAAGTGTTAGGGTTTTATCGGTGATTCAAGTGAGAGTGCTTGGAATTAGGGTTTTATTGATTCTCAATATCTTAAGTTCTTTTCTTCCTTTCTTCATCAATGTATATCTCAAGGAAAGGATAAGGGTTCCTCATTCTTGTGATTGAGCTTGCTAGCATTCATCAATTAAAGGTCATTTACTTAGGGTTTCATGACAAGATTCTTTTGGTTATACTTCTTCCATGTGTCCATATTCATTCTCAAGGACTCCTCAAGGCAATGTTATTATAATCAAGGCATCTATTAAGGAAAAACTTTGTCGAGTCAAAAGTTGTGGATTCCTAATGTTCAAAACACCATTAGGAGATTAGGGTTTCCAAATGTTACTTGTAAAGAAAGTTACTTGTGATGGAAGCATTTGAAATTAGGGTTTCCATGAACTTGAAAAAGATTCAAGACGAAATTATTCTAAGTATGCAAAATGGGAAGAAAATTCGTGTGGGTTCCTTAGCAAACAAGTTACAAGTTTAGGGCATTTTTCATCATCATCCAAATCATGATTCAAAGTTCCAAAATATCTGAGTTCAATTTGTTATCAAGATTATAAGGACATTCATTCATTCATAATTCAAGATCAAACTTCATTCATCAACCAATACCCATCATCATTCAATTATGTTCATTTTCACAAACAAAAAAAACTAAAATACATTTTGCCATAAACTGCTTCAATCACACTTATCATGGCTTAGCTCATTTACACCAATTATCCAAAATCATACCTTCAGAAAATAATTCAAAAACAGTTACTAACTTGAACAACATCATTGCCAAATCAATGTTATTTTTGCTTGCTCCAATGTGCACTAGAGTTGTCCATGACTTGATCCTAAAATTGTGCCAAAACTTATTCAAACACTACTACAAAACACGCAAGCAACAACGCCCAGGTCACCACGGTTCTTTCAAACACCGTGGTGACATCTCCAAAATCACGCGCTAACATTTTTATTTTATTTTTAATTAATAATTGTTAGGATATAATAACTGTTGATGGACTAATTGTGGTGATACAATCAATCTTTCATGGGCTCGAACTTCAGCGCCCTCAAATATTTTATTCCTTTAACGTTAAGGCACATCTTTTCTTTTTTATTTATTTTTAAATTAAAAATAAGAGGTTATCACTACGATTGTTTCGCTCAAGCATTGTGACACACACACACACACACACACACACACACACACACACACACGCACACACACATGTATATGGGTGGCAAAACGGGTCAGCCCATTTGACCCACCATTTACGACGGGTTGGACTGAGGTTTTTGGCTCAGTACTTTAAGTTGGGCTGAGGTTTTTGTTAAAACTTTTTTTACTTAGAATTAAAAGAACTTTAACTATAAAAATAATACACTTCTCTTAGGATTATGTTGATTGAATTATATTCTAAATTATTATACAGACAAATCAAATTATAATTGTAACGCTCTTTCGATAACTTACTAATACATGTGTTAATTGGAAAAGCTTGAAATAAAAGGAAAATTGTATGGCATGCAAAATTATTAAGTTGTCAATACATTAGCTCACATATTTTATTAAGAAATAAATGTTGATTTTAATAAAAGGAAATATTTGACTAGTGTAAACGTGTGACAAATTTAGGATTTAGCTATTAAGGAATGGGTCAATATAAGAGTATATATTATGTAAACAGTGAGAAAGTCAGGTGCCGATATTTAATGCACTACTATTTTATGCACTATGATGTTTTATGCATTGTAATTGTTATCATTGTTTGTCTTGTGTAAATTCTTAATTAGGTTCTTTTAGTACTTAACTTTTAAATATGACTGGGATGATATGTATTATCTATTTATTTATTTATTTATTTTATTATCCTTGAGTTTATTTCGTTATTTTTTATTGTAATTGATCTTTAATTATTTAAATTTTTAAATTGTTTGGACTTGAGACATGTTGAAGTTCTATTATGCTTTGTTAAAAAAGTATTATGTCGACCTCTTTGGTAATAATTAAAAATGTTGTAAATTATGTAGTAAATCATATTCTAAATTAAAAAAAAAACATTGGCGGTCGACCCGCTAACCCGCCAACTCGTTAGTAAACGGGGCGGGCTTGACTTTTCAGCTCGAAAGTCTAAGTTGCCTTGCCCCACCCCCGCTTTTGGACGAGCTTAAACGAGACGGGTCTAAATGAGGTGGGCTACCCGCTTTTTGGTTATGTCAACCGTTGTGAAATTATTTACCCATATATAAGCGAATTAACTCTCGCTTCTTGACAATATCGATGTATCTTTCAGAGCAAAATCCTAGCACCCATTTTTTCTTTTCTACTTCGACATTAGCATTCATATTCTACAGTATAGCTGTCAATATTATTCTTTATACATAAAGGTATTCTTCTTCTTCTTTATTCTCTCGTTTTCTTGTATGTTGTTGTTATGTTTCACATGATTTTCTTCTGGTTAGATAGTTTATGGTTTTTTTATTGCTATATGTTGTAGCATGTTGTTGTTTTGTTGGTAAATATTTTTCAAAATTATCTCTTCTTCGTGTATGTTGATGTTGTTGTTATGTTGCATATTTCTCTCTACAAAAAAAGATGCTTCTTCATAGGGAAAGTGAATGAAGAAACAACTACAACAACAAACTTCATCCAGTTTGTGTAGCTATGAGAAAAAAATATAAGAAGTATTAAGCTAAAGTGTAAACTTCATCCACCTTATATTTCTCTTTCATAGCACCATAAATTAGATGAAACTCATAATTGATTCCCGTTCCACAGTTAGTTTCAATAAAAGGTGCATCCTTGAAACATTATAATATAATGATGTTGTGTTATTGATAAATGCTTTTGTATGTTGTTGTTGTTGTTGATTAATGTTTTCGAAACAAGAACAAAACACTGCTAAGTCACAAGAAACGAGAATTCTTGTGAGTTAGCAACATTTTGTTCTTTAAATTATTATGCAAATTGATAGAAGATTATAGAAGATTATAGAAGATTAAGTTGAGTTTATTATATTCTATGTAGATTGTTTGTTTCACTAACTCTTCCCTCAAAATACATTCATTTAAATTGACATAGAAACTTATAATTTCAAAATTAAGTTGTATTTAAAAACCAACTTATATCAATCAATGTTTTCCAAATTGCATGCCTCGCATCGTTCATTTCATTATCTTTAACATATATAATATGTTTTAATGACCTAGATCCTTCATTACATTGATATCTTATCTTATAGTTTAATTTTAATAGCAACATTTTATTGGCTAAATCTACCTCATCATCATCACTTATCATCGTAATTGTTATGATGATAAGTCATCATAACAATAACGATGATAAGTGATGATGATGAGGTAGACTTAGTCAATAAATTGTTGTTATTGAAATTAAACTAGAATCGAAGGAATTGATGCCATGAAGAATTTATACCATTAAACCTCATTCTATATGTTAAAGAACGGGAAATGAATGATGAGACACATGCAATTCAGAAAACATTGTGTTGTACCCCAAAATTTTCCCTCCCATTTCTCATTCAAGATACTATCCTAGGGTTTCTCGAGTACTCAATTTGGCTCAGAAGTTGATGAGACAGATTCTCTTTCTAGGCAGTAAGTCAACAATTAGGGTTTGGTATTTCCCAAAGAAATTTGAGTCCCCAAGGTTTCAAATGGTCTTCATAGATCTTCATGTCTCCTCGAGGATGTTCATGCCAAGTT